CAGCACACATACTCTGCTGATTAAACGGTCAGAACATTCACCCTGCAATGAAAGCTAGCAGTTCCCACTTCCAAGCTCACAACCTATTTTCAACACTTTCTACACCTTATAAGGAACAAGTAAAACTCACCAACACAGTAATATCTGATTTCTGAAATATACCTTATTTTAACAGAACAGACATTCCACTTTCAGAGAAAATCAAACAATATATGCCTCCCTAGATTCAACAGAATGATGCAATGAACGTACCAGGGGATCCACCGAAATGCATGACCAGTTAACGTTTTAAACATGAAAAAACCTCGGCATTCAATTTTGTTGAATGCGGTATACATTCCAAAACAAAAAGCAAAAGTAGCAGCCTAACCTTTTACACTGAATCCCTCCTCTAGAGACCGATGTGTCCAGTAGAAGGAACCCTACGGTCCTGTTTCATTCGAAATAATTCCCATTGACCATGTCCTTACCTCATTTCAATCCTGTAAATGTAACTGAACACTTCAGGCTGGTTTTGAAAGTCTTTTTTTTCCTATAAATAGCGTCTATTTCAGCCGCGCAATGTGTGCAACGTTGACAGGATACAACCAAGCTTGCTGAAACGCAAAGGCTTGTAATACTTTTCTGACTGTCCAATAAATGTGTTTCAGTTACTGTGGAAAGTTTAAACACTCGGGAATTGGATAAGAAACGAGCCAATCAATACATTGTTACCAGGGGAGTTTCACGAGGGCGTGAACTATACAGTAACTGAGCAGTTACGCAGAAGAGCCTGAGTGTATAATTGAGTGATTGGCTATCAACACCAGTACTTGGGTGGATATAAGGAAGCACTGAATTTGTCAATGAAGGAATCTACACGCAAATCCACAGTAGGGAACTACAAATTTTTTGTATGTGATGACTGTAATTGACTGTGGAATGTGAGAGAATCAATACCATGTAAAATTTTTTGCTTCAGAAAACTGATTTTTCTTAACCACTAATTGGAACACTGTTGGCTCATTGTAGCTAAAGTGGTTGCTACAGAGGACAACGATTTTTTCTGCCGCAAGAGATCATTTTTTTTAAACTGCTGGATCGATACAATGGGCAAGGACATTGACCAGTTTGCACATCAGGCTTAGCTGAGAAGTTTAATTCATGCAACTCTTGAAAAACAGGGATTGGAGTGAACTTCTCCATGTTCTAAACCGCGGTCGAACTCTGCTTGCTTGTGAATATTCAATAACTGATCCAGGGGTGCAATCTAGTGATCGAGTACTGTAACTGCGTATTTAAATTAGCAGTTTCATGTCCGTGGACGTCTACATCTGTACAAAGGGGTTAATAAGATAGTGAATTTGAAAATAATGCCTTTCTTTATAAGAAATGCATGATTTGCTATCTTTATAGCCGGTCTTATAGTTCTGCATTGTGTTCCGTGTAATGAATAAGGCAAAGACCACTCCTCTCTTGCCAGCCAAAAGATTTTTATTCTGCGTGCAACACATTAATATCAGTGCAGCAACTTTGCATGTCTCGTTTCAACATCCACACCTCTCCACAGCAGAGCTTAATACTAGCTGAGTATAAAGCATGTCATAATATTTTTCAGTTATCAGGACTGAAAACATAACCTCCTTTTACCATTGATGGTGGAGGTAATTAAAAAATGGGGAGCTCACATACCTGCGTGCAACGCATTAATATCGGTACAGCAACTTCGCAAGTCATGTTTCTACACGCACACCTTTAAAATAGAGATGGAAGAAACCGCGAACCGCATGAGAAACCACCTAATGCTCCATTAGCCTGGACTTGCTACACATGCTACACAAAGGTGCTGTACACAATAAAATAAAAATGTATTAACACCAAAGTAACCATTGAAGCAATAATGAACAATATCTTTGACCTCTACAAAGTAGTATCTTCGCTTCCGTTTAGCATGTTACTATACCATTGAAAAGAGCACTCGTTTACCTCTCCACAGCACAGCTTAATACCGAGGAGAATATAGCGAATTTGGAGAAAGTTACGTCGCCCAACATCAAAGGTCAAACAGCATTAATATAAAAATTCTACTGAACAAAACAAAATTTGGGCGCTTTTCCCCAGGGGTACCCCCCACCCCTTGCAGGGGCCATAAATCATGAACTAATGATGAGGGGAGCCTAATACTTTGTAAAGCCTCCTTAGAATAGTTGATTTACATATGGGTGGAGTTTGAAGAAAATCTGAGATGGTTGAGCTGGGACCCTTGCCTGACTTGGCATGGAATGACCCTTGGCAAGTACTTGGCAACAAAACTCCCCAAAACAATATATGCATAGATAAAAGAGGAAAAGAATAATAACGTGCAAACAGAAATAGATTTTTGGTTGAACAGTTACATTGCATGCACACACGGGTTACACTTATGATACCTAGAACAAGACCTGAATGATAAAGACGCAGAATTTTTTTCTCTCTCTCTCTGAATTTTTTACCGAGGTCCGAGATGGCTAGTAACGGCTATGATGATGGGTCGGATATGCCAAACTGAATATGAGTACGCTTCCTCACAGTTGGCACTGGTTGCCTCGATCTGAGAGAATGTTGCGATTACTAGTTTTGATTATGAATTTGTCGTCATCGTCATAATCGTTACCAGGGGAGGTCAAATGGGCTAACGCTTGCATTCAATAGTGGCGCACCCCTGAAGTGACTGACGGGCGTGTTAAATCGTGCCCGTGAGGAGGACTTGTTGGGCGTTTACGGGCGCCGGCGCAATCACGCCCGTCTCGTGGCGTGCACTGAATGTGTCGACAAGGTTTCTTGTTCTGAGATTAAAATCCAATACAACCGGTGGCAAACCCAAAAATTATCAACTTCCTCTCCAGGTCTATCAAACAATTAAGTGGTTATTTATTGGTTATGCCAATGAAAGAAAAACATAATGCAAATCACAGTGACTGGACTGATGACTGACTGGAACCTGCCACCACACAAGCACCCTACAGAGGAGACCATTTATGAACAAAAAGTTAGGTCCACAGTTCAGTATTATGTACATCATTGCCATATCTGGAAGAATTATATGTGCCGTTAGTTAGACCTCACAATGCGGGAAACTGATGGGTCCAACATTTCTGATTTAACCCCTTAAAGGAGCAATATGTAAGTTTGTGGCCAAAACTGGTAGTGCAATCACATTCAAAACAGTGCAGAGCGAAGTATCCCCTCCTCCTTTCCCCCAGACGAGAGGTTGCCAGCTAGGTTGCCGGATCCAGCAAGAACGTCTACTACACGGATCTACCATGGCTACGTTTCAATATCACCAATTGCTCTCACAGGGTTGTGTTCAGTTCAGTTCAGTTCAGAAAAGATCGAGACTAATGACTAACTAACTTTAGCAATGGTCATATTGGTCAACTTGCTCGTCACTCTTCTGTGTGGATAGCCCACTAAAGTCCATACTGCAAAATGCGTAAAGAATGAATGAGGACTCATTTGACCGACGTACTGTCTCAATTACATTTCATATTGGCATAATGGCTGTGCTAATGTTGGAACGGTTTGCACAGCGTCTCAGCATTAAGCCAGAGAAACGGACTAATAATGAATTGCTAATGTTAGCAATGAAGAGCCACGGTTTTTATTTCTCAAACAATTTGTTACCCAGTCAATTCGATGACCCACCTGCATACGCACTAACGTACCATGAACGAATATACATAACGTTATTCAACTGTAGAGAATATTTGAAATGTCCGTGCCTACATTAAGTTAGCCAAACTTAGCTGAATCTTACCTGCCCAGGAGAAAATTAGCAACTTTGGCGTCGGTCTTCAAATTCTTCTCTGCTTTCGGCTGTCTCCATCTTTCAAAGGCATGTCCTATACAGATCCTTGTTTTGTTTCTGACTTTGTCACGACATATTTCGGAATCATAACGAGGCCTTTTAGGTTTAGCAACGTCAGACATTTGTGCTCCGAAACGCTGGTAGCTGCAGCTCAGTGGTAACTGGCAACCTGTAAAATGCTACTGACTTCGTGACTGGGAGTTAGGTGGAAGTCGGCGCAACAGGCCAAAACACAAAATGACAACATCAACATTAGTTGTGGGCTGCAACTTCGCTTTTGTAATGAGAATATTCTGGCTGGACTACTGTTGTCAGTAATATAAGTATTTGAAATTAACATCATTCCTTAATGTCTGGTGATATATCAGGGCCATTTCATGATTAATCAACATACATTTCTTACATATTGCTCCTTTAAGCCCTGAGCCTCTTTTTTGAAAATGGCAAGCCCAAAATGAAGTGAGTGTATCTCTGCAACTATTTGGTCCATTTGAATGATCTTGGTATCATAATAAAATTAAAATCATTTGGGATTTCTGCCATGGTGTAAAAATCAGTGTATATGTCACAGAGTCAGAGTAAATGAAGATGGAACACAGTATAAATCAAAGACCTCATTTTGCACCAAAGTTTTATGTCTATCCCTTATAAACTTAATTAGTTGCAGTCTGAAACCTCTAAAAATTTACAGCACAGAATCTCACCATTATCTGTGCCAAAGTTTATTCTAATCAAGTAAATAAGAACAAAATTAGAGGAAAGTCTTGGTGGCTTCTCCAAATTGGCAATTCAGGTACCTTGTGTGCCAAATCAGATTTCTCAGATATTAAACTGTAAAACTCATCTAATTTCACTTATATGTCACTACAGGCATACATTCCACCCAAATACAACCAGTTTTAAATTTTTTTTTTTTTATTATTATTATTATTATTATTATTACTACTACTGCCAGTCCTACAGCCTATACAATTTCCCAGTCAAAGACAATAAATACAAGAAAATGAAGTTTGGCTCCACTGGAGCAGATTTTTTTTTTTTTTTTTTTTGAAAAGCAAATTAATAAGATTATGAATACAAAAAGGGTTAAAAAATGGGGAAAAAAGTCAAGAGAAAAAAACCCCAGCAATTATATTTACGAACAACACGGTACTAATGTCTTACTGAAACACGCCTGACCAAGGATTCGAACATTGGTCGCCTGCGCTGAAGTCCTACACCTTAACCACTAGGCTACATCATTTAGCGAAAACACTGCTTTCAAATTGCCCACATAAAGAATGAGTCAAAAAAAACAAGTCATTCGCCTTGTTTGAACTGTTGTGCCCTCAGTATTCACGCGTTTCTGTCAAAAAACGACTTTGAAAACGACGGTTGAATATTTAGTGGATAATTACCCTGAAAATACCACAAACAAACCTGTTAAGCATTTATATTGTCTCGCAATTTAAGTACATGAATGGCCCATGGACTCCATGGCCCATAGAATGGTTTGACGCGCTGGGAACGCAAGGCTCTGGCTCAGTCTAGCTTTGAGCGATAAAGGTGCTTTAGAGCTCGTTGGAAACGTCAAATTCCATAGAATCAAATGGCTACTGGCAAAGTTTTACTGACAGCATCACAAGCCGATCACAGAGAGGAAAATACATTGCAAGCAAGCTGAATGCTGAGGAACTGAGATCTTTGAAGCAATGCTCGAGAAGAAAAGCATGCTTTGAGACTCGCAGATCCAGTTTGGTTAAAACACAGACACGTTGAGCTAACAATAGCATGCGTGGATTTACCCTCAAACAGTTTTTTTATTACAAAATATCAAAGGTAAGAAATTTCTTTGCTCGTCTCTGTAGACTGTAAAGTGTATGCCTGCTGCTCTTTGAGCGTGGTGTCGGTTTAAAATGACAGGGCTCATATCGTTGGATTCTGTGGACTTTTCTCTTTCATTTGAGGTATAGTTTGATGTATAGCACAAATTCAGGAGAAATTCTTGCGATTCAGAGCTGATATGATTTTATCCTATGTTTTGCTGCATGCTTATTTACTTGCTTGGTGCTTGAATTGTGTTCGGTTGAGGTAAAAATGGTCTACATGAGCTTTTTGCCTAGTTTCTTCGCGAAATGTGGATATGCCGTTTGACAATGTTGCGATTTGGAAATATGCTGTATTTATTGTGCGTAACCACCGGCCCCCAGTACCCGGGCGCAGGGCTTAAGGGGTTTTAACCAATATCCCTGAATTTTACACTGAACTCCAAAACCCTGTACAAAAAGCCTGACTACGTAAAATTGGATACACAGGTTGGTCCATAAATATTCGGACATTAAGAATGTTACTATTTAAGTTGCCGACCATAGAATATTAGGGTTGAAATTAAATAATTGCTGAGGACAAAAAGAGGACATTCTGCTTCAGTTCGAGGGCTAACACATCAGAAATTGGTTGGACGGAGCAGGAATAACATCATTTTTTGAGGTCCTCACTTTTTAGGGACTAAAAATATTTGGGCAATTAGATGTTCAGCTGTTCCATGGCCAGGTGTGTTTTATTCCCTTATGATTTCATTTAAAAGTGAACACATAAAAGGTCTACAGTTGATTTCAAAAGTTTCATTTTCATTAGGAGGCTGTTGCCATTAACTCTAAACATGAAATCCAAAGAGCTTAGTGCCAGTATAGCAAGCCATAATTAGGCTATAAAATCAAAACAAACCCACCAGAGAAAAAGAGAAACCATTAAGTGCAGCCAACTGAACCTTTTGGTATGTTCTGAAAAAGAAAGCACTGGTGAGTCCAGGAATACAAAAAGGCCAGGAAGACCATTGATGATAACTATGGTGGAAGCCAGAAGAATTATTCCCCTGATTTTTGAAAATACTCTTCACCACAGTTAGCCAGATCAAGCACATTCTCCAGGAGATAGGCATATCAGTACCAAAGTCAGCAATCAAGAGAAGATTTCACCAGAGTAAATTCTGAGAGTTGATTTAAACATGTAAACTATTGGCAATTCGCGGAAAAAAATTTAAAAATGCTAGTATAGTTCTGGAACATCCTATAGACAAACAAGACGAAGATCAACTGATGCCAGAAATATAGGAAATGGTATACGTGGAAAAGGGAAGGAACTGCTCATGATCTGAGGCATATCACCTCATACAATGCATTAAATAAGCATTCAGAACCCTTCACTTTTTTCAGTTGTTGCAGCTCTATGCTTATAATTGTGTAAATTTATGTTCCCCTCATCAGGGTCATTCCATGCCAAGTCAGGCAAGGGTCCCAGCTCAACCATCTCAGATTTTCTTCAAACTCCACCCATATGTAAATCAACTATTCTAAGGAGGCTTTACAAAGTATTAGGCTCCCCTCATCATTAGTTCATGATTTATGGCCCCTGCAAGGGGTGGGGGGTACCCCTGGGGAAAAGCGCCTAAATTTCTGAGCCGTTTTCAGAGCTCTGCTGGAGCTGAAGTATTCAAGCAAGCTCTATAATTTTTTCTGGGGTGACTCTCCTGTACCCAGACAGCAGGGAAACATAGCATAAGGCCTGCTAGAAGGTGACCTGAAGTACCTAGGAGGAGCCAAAAATGGAGAAAAACACAATCCCAAATTAAAAATGCCAGTTTTTAAGTACCCATCTGACCCTTTTAATGAGTACCTACAACTCTAATTAGTTGTATATGGAATATTTAAATGGTTTCCTCGTATGTAAGATACAAACGTAAATCAGATGTTATGTGAATGGGAAAATATTTGGTCTTAAAGTTGTATTTTTGGCCAAAATGGGCCTATTTTACCATGCTATAACTCAGTGCTGACATACAATAGGGGGCCCAATCTTTCGTATGTTCTAGAAGATATATTAGTGCACAATATATCCAACAACTATAGTGGTGTCTTGTTTCCTTAAATCATAAACTAATGATGAGGGGAAGCTAATATTTCACAAAACCTGCTTAGAATAGTCAATTAATACATGGGTGAAGTTTGAAGAAAATCTAAGATGGTCCAGCTGGGATCATCCTGGAATTTGCCTGATTTCACATGGAATGACCCATCAATCTATACGCAATACCCCATGATTACAAAGTGAACATAGAATTTTTTGCAAATGTATTAAAAAAGAAAAACTGAAATATCACATTAACAGAAATACTCCGACCCTATAGTAGTTTACTCAAGGTCATGTCATACAAGTCGGTCCCTCAATTTGAGTTCAAAAAAATTGTGGGAAGGACTTAATTAAATTGAGGGAGCGACTAACATCTAGTGACCATGAGTTAACTAAGTCATGGGAACAAAAATCTTGTGGCTACAGGTTAACTAAATCGTAAGAACGAGTCAATTAAATTGAGGGTACGAGTTGCATTTCGTAGCCACAATATACATTTTTTCTATTTTAATTCCCAGGCTCTGCAGATAACAGCATGTGCAGAGCTGGTAAGTTTACAATTACAGCCAAGGTTTGCCTTGCGCGAGTCTAGTATCATCACTACCGATAGTTCTCAATTGCTGTAGTGTGCATGCAGCTCGCTAGCCAGCTGCGATAGTTTGATACGTTCCTCTGTTTGTTTATAAAAGGGCTTGCACACATTTATGATTTTTAAAGGAAAATTAATGTTCCCCTCTTCCAAGTACTTTGTGTCTTAATGACTAAATTCTTTGTCATTTCTTACTTTTGTCAATAACTAAATTCTTTGTTTGTGTGATTACATACTTTTGACTTTTCAAACCCCTTGCCATGAAATTTTCATCTGTCGCCAATTTTCTTGCATGTGTCATAGTTTGTCATAGTTTCTCCTTTTGTTCTTCTGATGGGGTAAAAATCTTAAAATCACAAAATTTGGATGTATCACCATTGTGCTCAAAACCAAATGTTAGTGGTTATCGAAAACATTACTCGAATCAAATGTAGTTTTGCTGATCAAGTATTACAAAAATAAACATACATCTGTCCTTGAATAAATGATCTAGTCTTACATGCAGGTTCAGAAATGACTGTGGGGAATACATGCAGTGAATTTGTAGTTTGTATTTGTTGTTGATATTCCTTAACAAGGCAGACACATAGACTGAGCTTATAATGTGAAGTTGCACGTGCAACAGTGTTTTGATTGTGTGGCTAAACAGATTTCTTTGTGGTAAAACATTATCAGGTTGTTTAGCCACAGTGGCTTAAGGCAAAAAAATCCTAGAGCACACCCAGCTATGGGTAACAGACATCAATCTGCCATTGACTGGAAAGGATTTGCCATCAACTATTAAAAATAATAATTCAGTTCTTGATAATGTCAGTTTGTCAAATTACCTTTCACCCCCAAAAACTGAAGGGGCTGTGCCAAAAATGGGTGTCATTTATATATTGTTGTCACATTCTTTTTGCAAAAAATCTTAAATTGAAGTTAAGTCTGCACTTCAAGTACAGCTTGATTATTTTCAAATTCATCACAGTGGTGAACAAAACTAAAACTACTGTGTGTCTACATCCAAATATTTGTGGACCCAACTAATCTGCACACAGAGTCAGGGTCTTTCCATGCTAAATCACCAATTTCAGCAAAGATCTCAAGGTGACAATCTCAGAATTTCATGACCCTTTTTCAAATGCCTTAGAATAAAACACAAAATCTCGCCAAATTTTTGTTTTGTAAAGTCCTCATAGTTTTACTATAAGCCATCAAATTAGGGGTTTCTTCTCCCACTCACAAGCGATGCTTTTCATTTTCCTTCAACATTTGAGCTTTGCATCACCAACCTATCAAGATATCCTCATAAAATTTGGTGGGTAAACAGACTTCTACCCTTGCTTTCATAATATGACATTACTAACAGTATAACTATTGTCATTTCTGATTTGTGTCAAAACGTGCTGCATTTGCACATGAAATTTTTCAATTTTAGGTTTTTAGGGGCTCACCACAGACCTCCAATTGTACTGACAGACACAATATTGCACCAGTGTGGAAACTGGGTGCAGGTGTGCACAAAGTAAAAAGCAGAAAGGAATCAAGACCAAAATGACAGCAAGGAGAAGAAAAAAAAAGTTGTTTTTCAAAATGCGAACACTTGGTTGTCATTTGGTAGGGTACATGACCATATTGACATCTATCCAATTCTTTTTCCCCATAACGACATATACGATCTATCTTCGTGACAGTAATTAATTCAGTAGATCACATCTTTGCATCATAAATGATTTTTTGAAGCAAGTGCCCATCTGAGACTTCACCCAATCTTCCTACTAT